TAGCTCTACCTGAGCTACTGGTACATTAAAATTTGGATTTTCCGAAAAGTAAACAATTTTGGTAACAAAACTATATCGCTTCTTGGTAAGTGATATACACAGTTTTTCGACTTAAATTAAATAATAAACATATCCATTTTCCTTTAAAGTAGATTTTGTCTACATTACTTTTATGAAATATATCTATTTTGATAATCATTTGTAGTTTTACATGATGTCACAAAACTACGTGAGCTTCTCTAGTAAGGAATGGAAAATTTGAGCTTCAAATTCATCGAAGAGTCGATATTTATGAGTTTTCAATTAAACAGACTTTGTTATTAATTGATATATATGTGTGTGCGCGTGTTTTCATATTTAACGGATCTGAAATTTTATCATTGATTTACTTACTTTTGTCGCTTCGTTCAATAGAATTTTCGAGGCTCAACCATATTTTAAATAATAAATTTTCTAAGGTATAAAAAATTAGAAAATAATAGAATATAAAATAATTAACTGGAAAGGGGAATTGAAGGGAAATGCTGAACGGACAGGGTCATTGAAGGGATATGCTGGACGGACAGGACCACGTGGCCCTTTTCGTTTAGGGCGCTGAAATGGCGCCCCTGCTATTGGAGGGGGCGCCAGGCGCCAATTAGGCCCCCAGTTTGGACATCTCGACTTTTACCACTTGGAAAAAAAAGGCAAGCTGGAATTGGACTTCTCATTAAAATTGGGCGACTTCTGGAGATAACATACGAGTTGGTGGCTGGAATTATATATAGCATTTTGCTATATGTACTTCATTCTTTACATAACGGATTATGTAATGTTATATGTCACTTAGTCATTTGCCAGTTTATATGCACAAGACAGAAAAAATAGAGACAGTGAAGCGGCTAGAATTTTTAAAGCCGAAACACGCCATCCAGCAATTGGGAGTCAAACGTTGGGGGTGCCAATATATATATATACACACACGTGCATGCAATCAGCCAGAGGAGGAACTGAATTGATAGTATATATATGCATGCACACAAAGAAAACAGCAGCTAAAAAGAAAAAGATGGTAGAGAAAAGTTTGCAACTGGTGATTTTTTTTTTTTTTGTCCTTTATTTGTCTAATTCCAACATTATGTTAGGCTAAATTATTTTGCGCTAGAATTACGATGGAATTTGTATCACAAACCTTTAAATCTTAATTTTATTTATTTTGACGTTTTAAACATGTTTTCAATTATTGAATAATTGACATAGATTTAATTTTCTCTACAATTATATGCACATTAGTTGTATGAGTTTTGTAACTTTTTTTTATCTGCAAGAGATGGAAAATAAATTAGATATATTGTCAATTGTAGTAGAATTCGACAAGGGATAAAAATATACAGCTATAATTTATGTAATCTTTAAGTATTGAAAAATTCATTAATGCATTTTTATATGTTCACATCCGTCATGGAAATATAGTTGGGTCACATATAAAAATAGGTTTAAGTCTACCCGAGAAAGATTGTTAAATAAATTAGGAATATTGGTTTTTATAATTAAGTCGTATTGTCAAATTTATAAATTTCTAGTTAAAGGGGATTGGGATCCTAGCACGCTTTTTCATCATCTTATTTTTATAAAGTTTGCATTTAATCATAACATTACATTGATTTTAATTAATTTAGGTATTACATTTATAAGTAGATCATTTAATTTATAGGAAAAATAACAAAGTTTAATAGTTTCGGTTAAAGCTAAGTTAATTCGAACTTAAACTAGTAATATTTCTGTGGGAACGATATTTGGATTCAAAAATTCACTTTTTTACTTGTTAACGAACCGTATATTTACGCTATTTTTAATTCGAAAATCGTTTTCGTTAATAAGTTTTTGTAAAAACTTATTCACGAAATTATTCTTCAAAAAAAAAAAAAAAAACCACAAGTTCGTTAATAAGTAGTAAAATGAATTTTTTTTAGGTCAAGTATTGTTCTCACGGGGATTGTACTATTTTAAGTTCAAATTAATTTAGCCTTAATTGAAACTATTGAAAGTTGTGATTTTTCTCTAACTAATTCAATAATATACAAAACCTATTTCAACTAAAATAAATGCAAGTTATAATTAAATGTAAGTGTTATAAAAATATGATAATAAAAAGCATAATAGGATCACAAATTCCCTTATATCAATCCCCTTTAGTTCGAAATTTATAATTTGATAACAAGATTCTATTATGAAGATCAATATTCTTAATTTGTGTAACAATCTCTCTTGAATAGAATTAAACCTATTTTTACATGTGACCCAATTATATTTCTATGACGAATGCGAATATATAAAAATGCATTAATGTATTT